CCCTCTCGTCTTGCCCCTGTGATTCTGTCTGCTGATCGGTGACCTATGCTAGCCCTGGGACTATTCTTGTGTTTTGCCCACCATATACCTGTTTGCCATTGTTTTGACCTTGCCTGTTTACCACGTCTCTTTAATAAATCCTGCAGATGGATCCACACGTCTCACGTCTCGTCAGCCCCGTTACATCAATAGTCTTGCAATTTTTTCAGATATTCTTGCAATTTTTAACAGACTCCAGAAAAGTACAGGCTACCTCTTCAGAATATATACATATATATATATATACAGGTGCATCTCAACAAATTAGAATGTCATGGAAAAGTTCATTTATTTCAGTAATTCAACTCAAATTGTGAAACTTGTGTATTAAATAAATTCAATGCACACAGACTGAAGTAGTTTAAGTCTTTGGTTCTTTTAATTGTGATGATTTTGGCTCACATTTCACAAAAACCCACCAATTCACTATCTCAACAAATTAGAATATGGTGACATGCCAATCAGCTAATCAACTCAAAACACCTGCAAAGGTTTCCTGAGCCTTCAAAATGGTCTCTCAGTTTGGTTATCAAATCATCTCGACTAGACTAAAATAAAATCTAAAGATATAAAACAGTTCAAGCATATAACAATGTTTAAACGTTAAACCTAGATAAATGTGCGCTGTATCTAATAGTTTGCGCAGAGAGTGGAAGCTGAAGTGCGCTTTGCAGGACATAGAGACGCCGGCGCAATCACTTGCATTTTTTTTCAGTGGATACGCCGTCATTTTTGCTCATAAAAGGTAAGAGTAATACATTCGTAACTGTAAAGGGTCTACTTTTATTTGTGTGCACTCACAATATCAACAAAACGTTGTGCTTTTATAAAATAAAGAATCAAACATGATGTGCTTTCTGCCGTCTCTTCTTCAACAGGAGCGCTTCACAAAAATGAACCAAAACTCAGTGAATACATGCCTCACAGACATGATAAATATATCTATAGAAATCTTTAAATGACTACTTAACGAAATAAAACATGTTTCCACCAGCGCGGCAATCTTTTTTCATCACTAATTGATGGCTGTCTAAAATATAAAAATAAGGAGAATCCTAAAACAGGCCCGAGGCCCTGCCCACGTCTGAACTATGACGTGGAAATTGTCCCGAAGCCCAGCCCGGGCTGAAATGCAGGGCTCTAGCTCTGATCTAGCACACAGAAAACGATTTAACTGAAATTTTATCAGAAGAGATGAAAGAAAGATAGTGGTCATCTACGCAATTCGGAAAAAGAGGCGGCTTTTCTGCATTAGGTAGCCTATATTTTTTTTTACTCTTTGTACAGCAGTTATGTTCATTCTAAATTTATTTTTTAACGTAGAATATGTGTTACATAAATACATGATATGTAGAACATATAAAAAGTGTCTCAAATTCGTCTGCCAGTGGGTGCCCCCCCCACGCATAAAAGTGAAACTCCGCCTATGATTGTGCTTTTACACCTTTCGAGCCGAATTTCACAAAATTGGGTGTTATTTATGGGGAGTAGAATTATTTATTTATTTCAATGAATGTAATCGATTAAATATCATAATATTTAGGCTATAATATTATAAATCAGGTTGGTTTGTTTTGCTGAGGTAATATGTCAATGATATGCGTGCGGCCCGCGAGACTTGGACAATAGTAAGTCCGGCGGCGGAAAAAAAGGTTGAGAACCACTGCTATAAGGTAACAATAATATAATAAGATAACCTTGTTTGAAATGGGTTTGGCTAAAAGAAAATTTTGGTTTCGTCTATACTACTAACATTAGGTACTTATACTATATTTTTTTTATTGGTCTTACGAAGTATTCTAATTTGTTGAGATAGTGAATTGGTGGGTTTTTGTTAAATGTGAGCCAAAATCATCACAATTAAAAGAACCAAAGACTTAAACTACTTCAGTCTGTGTGCACTGAATTTATTTACTACACGAGTTTCACAATTTGAGTTGAATTACTGAAATAAATGAACTTTTCCACGACATTCTAATTTATTGAGATGCACCTGCACACACACACACACACATTTTTTTTGGTAAAGATTACTGTAAAATTTTGCACAGAAACGTGCAACTTCTTGAGGATTATTACTAGTGACTGTTCCCCGATATGTAGAGTTTCAGTTAATGAAGTTCTTAAGCGACTCTTTTCTAATCTGAAAAAACATATGCGGAGTTGCATTTGCCCTCCTCCATCCATTTTTGTCTAGATCAGGGGTTGGCAAACTTGGCCCTTCCAGGTCACTTTCCTTCAGAGTTTAGCTACAACTCTAATCAAACACCTGAACCAGCCAATCATTGTCTCCAAGACTATACTATAAAGCTACAGGCAGGTGAGTTTTATCAGGGTTGGATCAAATCTCTGCAGGAAAGTGGCCTGGAAGGGCCAAGTTTGTCCATCACTGGTCTAGATCTTACCCTGTGCCCTATAAGTGTACAGCTCATCTAATTTAGATTGCAGGTCAGCATACTCAAGCTTGTAAGATTCAGAAGAAAGTATTGCAAATTTAGACACCACCCTATTTTCTTCTATTCTTTTAAGTTTAGCTAAATTACTACTGACTTACTAATTGGATTTATAGAAGCAGCTCTTGGGGGAAACATATCCAAATCACTATTTAATACCACATTGAAATCCACCACCTAAAATAAGAACAGCATTGGGGCATTTATTTACCCAGTACTGTATAATTCAGTGATCACATCCAGTAAGGCGGTATTTTCTTAAGAATTATACCCATACATAGCCTGGCCAAGTGAAACCAAAAGAAAATGACCCTTGGGATCACTGGCAAGGTGTAGTAGGCTCTCACCAGCAAACTACTATTTAAAATGGTGACACCCGCTGATCGCTCAGTGCCGTGAGACATCCATACATCACTGCCCCACTGCGATCTCCAAAATGTAACATCCTGTGTGGAATGGGTTTCTTGAAAAAAAGCTACATTCTGATCCATGGTTTTTAACAAGCAAATGAAAAAGGGCTTTGCGCTTCACATTGTTTCTTAGACCCTTGGCATTTAGAGAAATGAACGATATCGCCTTTGATAAACGAATATGTTGATGCCTTTCTAAACCAATAAAATTTGGTCAGGAGCTCTGAAAACGTCGTCTTAACAAGGCACCATCTTTGGTCCTCACTCAAAATCCACTGATCTATAATAGAGATATAAATCAGTGGCAATATCAGACAGTCAAGCAAAATGCATGCAACCCATAGCAATGTGTTATGGCAGTGCCTCAGACTAACAGATAATATATATATTTTTTACTTTTGAGCAATTCGTTACTGTTTTGTACACATTGTCATGTTCATTGCGTTTTGTTTTATTGACCACAATATTATCATTGCTATTTGCCTGAGAGGGGCACTTCTGATTAATTTTGAAAAAGGGCAGGGGCTTGAGCCCCCAAATTTTGCATACACACACACACACACACGCACAGACATATATATATATATATATATATATATATATATATAATTTAGGCTGCGTAGAAGGATCCGGGTACTGAAATGGCCAGCCTGCAGTCCAGATCTTTCACCCATAGAAAACATTTGTCGCATCATAAAGAGGAAGATGTGACAAAGAAGACCTAAGACAGTTGAGCAACTAGAAGCCTGTATTAGACAACATTCCTATTCCTGAACTTGAGCGTCGTGGCCTAAGGTTGCGAGTTCGAGTCTCCGGTCCGGCAGGAATTGTAGGTGGGGGGAGTGAATGTACAGCCCTCTCTTCCACCTTCAATACCACGACTGAGGTGCCCTTGAGCAAGGCACCGAACCCCCAACTGCTCCCCGGGCGCCGCAGCATAAATGGCTGCCCACTGCTCCGAGTGTGTTCACGGTGTGTGTGTGTTCACTGCTGTGTGTGTGCACTTAGGATGGGTTAAATGCAGAGCACTAATTCCTAGTATGGGTAACCATACTTGGCCACATGTCACTTCACTTTGTCTCCTCAGTCCCCAGACGTTTGCAGACTGTTATAAAAAGAAGAGGGGATGCCACACAGTGGTAAACATGGCTTTGTCCCAACTTTTTTGAGATGTGTTGATGCCATGAAATTTAAAATCAACTCATTTTTCCCTTAAAATTATACATTTTCTCAGTTTAAACATTTGATATGTCGTCTATGTTGTATTCTGAATAAAATATTGACATTTGAAACTTCCATATCATTGCATTCTTTTGCATTCATTCGTTTTTATTCACAATTTGTACAGTGTCCCAACTTTTTTGGAATCGGGTTTGTAGTTGTAATATTAATCAAGAACATTCATTAACAAACAATAACTAAATAAATAACAGCATTTCCCACATTCTAATGAAATACAAGAGTAAAAAGTGTCCAAAAAGTGTAAACAAGATTGCATGCAAACTACTGCACTGTTTTCACACTGTTTAGCCCCCAAAAACTTTAACACAATTTTAATTATATTTGACAAACAATGCAAACTTCCATTCTGATCAGGAATCAAGTGAAATTCTGATTTCATTTCCAAATTATTTAAAGAGTGGGGTATGAATTGAATCGTGCCGTTTTGGATAGTTTTTAATTTATTAAATTTGATTTGATCAAAGTCAAAGTTCCAGTTATAGAATATTCATCATCAAAAACGACAATTAACATACAATCAATACATACATACAGCACATACATAAATAACAGCATTTCCAGGAAAAAAAATTTTTATTGTAGAAATAAAAATCACAGAAACTATTTCAGGGTCACTTCATCATCAGATCATCAACTCTGTCCTGACAGTAGACAGATTACACTAAATTCTCTACAAAATCTTTTAACTTGGATGTGTTTTCAAAATGAGTTTTCATAAACCTTAACCTCAAGAAGATGAAAATGAAGAGATTAAACGATGCGTAGGAAACTGGACACACACAAGCTTTTTGGACGCTCCTGTAGTTAATGAGGAGAGCGCAAGTCAGCCGACCCGTGTCACGTGATCTAAAATGTCTAATGCGGAACTACAGGATGATAAAAATAAGTTTCCTTCTGTGATAAGTTGACGCTTTTTTTTTTTTTACTTTAAATGTACTGAATGAGTCACTCATCGACTGACAGTTCATGGTCTGTAACGCTACTTAATCGGACTTGTCTTTCAAGCACTAAGCGAGTTAGGACGCGTTTTCGCTTTAGTTTTAACGAGAGCGCATGAATGAATATTAATAATTACACTGTGTAAGATTATAAATATAATGTCAAGATGAAGCAGACTGTCTTGCTGTTTCTCGTAACGCTGTCTGTCTGCGCGCACTCAGCGTTTGGTGGTAAATATAATGTTTTAAATATACAAAAATAATAAGGAAGAATAAGGAAAAGTTAATATCACCATATTTACAGATGCAGAAGTGACCATCAAGGCTCCAGCAACAGTGAATCTACAGGAACAATCTGCAGAAAACCTCACCATTACACTGAGGTACGATTGTAAGCAATGATACTACTATCTGTGAGTAATTATGAAATATATGTTTTGGGAAGTCATTTATTTAATGTGGCTTTTATGTGTTTACGTTCACAGTTCACCGTTGAACACATCTGTAACGGTTTATTTCAATATCACATACAAATCAAGAAATGTCTCTTCAATAATTCTACTTCCTGATGAGGTATATGCACTTATTTCAGCCTATGCAGATTTTAAATGCACCTGTCTGTCTTAGTCCTATTCAAAATTTGATGTTGAGTACAAAGATTCTGTTGTTATTACAGTTCACTCTGATAGGAACTAGTAAACTAGTAAATAACTAATAAGTTATTGTTTCATTTTGCACATGTTCAAACAGAATAGCTTCCTGTGGTTAACTACAAGTTACTTTCCTACCGTATATTATGTTTTGATGCTTGCTTTCATACAGATCATGTAAAATTGAAGTTTAAGTGTAAATCGTATTTATAAATTCTAAAACATCTATAGAGTAATAATATCAGGCATCATATATCATTCATGTCATATGTACAGGTGCATCTCAATAAATTAGAATGTCGTGGAAAAGTTCATTTATTTCAGTAATTCAACTCAGATTGTGAAACTCGTGTATTAAATAAATTCAATGCACACAGACTGAAGTAGTTTAAGTCTTTGGTTCTTTTAATTGTGATGATTTTGGCTCACATTTAACAAAAACCCACCAATTCACTATCTCAACAAATTAGAGTATGGTGTCATGCCAATCAGCTAATCAACTCAAAACACCAGCAAAGGTTTCCCGAGCCTTCAAAATGGTCTCTCAGTTTGGTTCACTAGGCTACACAATCATGGGGAAGACTGCTGATCTGACAGTTGTCCAGAAGACAATCATTGATACCCTTCACAAGGAGGGTAAGCCACAAACATTCATTGCCAAAGAAGCTGGCTGTTCACAGAGTGCTGTATCCAAGCATGTTAACAGAAAGTTGAGTGGAAGGAAAAAGTGTGGAAGAAAAAGATGCACAACCAACCGAGAGAACCGCAGCCTTATGAGGATTGTCAAGCAAAATCGATTCAAGAATTTGAGTGAACTTCACAAGGAATGGACTGAGGCTGGGGTCAAGGCATCAAGAGCCACCACACACAGACGTGTCAAGGAATTTGGCTACAGTTGTCGTATTCCTCTTGTTAAGCCACTCCTGAACCACAGACAACGTCAGAGGCGTTGTGTGCATTGAATTTATTTAATACACGAGTTTCACAATTTGAGTTGAATTACTGAAATAAATGAACTTTTCCACGACATTCTAATTTATTGAGATGCACCTGTATATTAAAATGTCAATATCTGTGCCATCCATATCCAATCTATAGCCTGCATCAGGATTATGTTTGAGCGGAGCTGTCCATGAATAGTTATATTAACTTCAGACAAATGAGTTCTATAAAACACTGCCAACTTAAGCAATGTTAACTAGTTTTGTTTTTTGTCCTCTCTCATCTTGTTCAGGTTGTCGTGCCGGCAGGAAACATATTTGTATCTTTTGAAGTGCAGGCAAAAGGGGTTGGTCAGGTGACTGCTTACCTTTCCAGCAATAACACTCACATAAAAAGGTGCATTGTAAGCTAAATGATCTTAATCTGTCACCAATTAAACAGTACTGGATAAAAATGGCATAAGTGACGTTCTCTTACAGCTTCCTATTGGCTTCTCGAGAACTCTTCTTTGGCTTAGATTCTGTTTATCACATGGGCATTCTTTATAAAGATTAATTTTTCCCATACAGTTATTTTTACTACAGTTTATTTTATTATTGAAGCAAAACGTGTGGATGCATTATGACCAGACTTGGAGACATTTGCATCAGTATCTTGCAAAACCAGTTTTATTTATTTAGTTCCTTAATTTAGGGGATTTCAAACGGTGCAAGTGGGCCGCTGAGTAATAGGTGAACTGTGCTTATCGTTAAAAGCACTATGCCAATACATTTAAAGGGATAGTTCACCCAAAAATCTGTCATCATTTACTGTTTACTCTTTCGAATCTGTATGAGTTTCTTTCTTCTGCTGAACACAAAAGAAGATATTTTGAAAAATATGAGGAACCAAACAGTTGATGGTCTCCATTGACTTCCATAGTATTATTTTCATACTATGGAAGTCAATGGGGACCAACTGTCCCTTTAACTTGAACTAAAAAAAAGATTCTATAATATTCTAATACCGAGTCGTGGCTTTACTTGTACTTGGCTTTAATAAAGTGATTTTTTACTGTCCTGTTTTATTGTAGATGTGTGTTAACAAAAACACCATGAAAATAACCGCTAGAGGGGATTGTTTTTTTCCAGCATAGAGACGCGTATCAGATTCCTGATTGTCAGAAGCAACGTTCTTTTCATCATCGACCAAATCATTGGCTGGATTTACTTCCTGGCCTGGTCTGTGTCGTTCTACCCACAGGCGTATGAGAACTGGAAACGACACAGGTACAAAATGATTTGTTGAGACTCGATGATTTAGACTGAGTAAAAAAAGCTGATGATTGATGTGTGTGTTATGTTTCATTCAGTGTGGTAGGCCTCAGTTTTGATTTCCTCGCTCTCAACCTGACTGGATTCATTGCTTACAGTGTGTTCAACGTTGGCCTGTTCTGGGTGACGTATATACAGGTGTGTGCACTTGACGGCTTTCAGGTTGTAATTATTTAGTCCAGTCTTTTGCAGCATTCTTTCTACTTATGTTTTTTTTTAATGGAGATGATAAATGGTGCATCTGCAGGAGGAGTTCTTACAGAAAGATCCGAATGGGGTCATTCCTGTCGATGCCAATGATGTCTTCTTCAGTCTTCATGCAGTACTTCTCACTCTCGTCTATGTCTGTCAGTGTGCCATCTATGAGGTAAACATTAAAGCATTACCGTATAAATTGAATTAATAATAATGATATATTATTTTACACCAGCGTCTCCCTGACATGGCTGCGTCAACACTACTGCGTTCCTGAAACCACGCCTTCTTTCTTTGCGTGCACATTTGGGTGGCATTATGCTAATATTTCCACATAGTGACGTAGATATGTGGGGGTCGTGTTAGAACGAGCCGTTTTAGGTAGGCGTGGTTGACTCTTAACTTTTAGAAAGAATATCTCTTTGGATTTGAGACTTTAGTCTTTGCAACTTTACAGATCTTCTTTATGCACCAAGAGCTTGTAACACTCCAAAGAGAAAGGAAAACTTGAAATCGCATCATATGACCCCTTTAAGTCGCTGGGGTATATTTGTAGCAATAGCCAAAAATACATTGTATGGGTCAAAATTATCGATTTTTCTTTTATGCCAAAAATCATTAGGATATGTTCCATGAAGATATTTTGTACATTTCCTACTGTAAATATATCAAAACTTAATTTTTGATTAGTAATATGCATTGCTAAGAGCTTCATTTGGACAACTTTAAAGGCCATTTTCTCAATATTTAGATTTTTTTGCACCCACAGATTCCAGATTTTCAAATAGTTGTATCTCAGCCAGATTTGTCATATCCTAACAAACCATACATCAATGGAACGCTTATTTATTCAATTTTGATATGGTGTATAAATCTCAATTAAAAAAAATTGACCCTTATGACTGGTTTTGTGGTCCAGGTTCACATATATATTAATATTTTATTAACACAAATCTGTTCAAGAGTTTGGTGTCAATAAGATTTTTTGAAATATATATATATTTTTAATTTAGTAAGGATGCAGTAATTAAAAAAAGATTTTACTTCGAAAATTCTAATAAATTTTGTTTTTCAACTTTTTATTCATCAAAAAATCCTGAAGGTCACATTTTCCACAAACTTTGTAAGCAGCACAACTGCTTTTTTAACATAGATAATAATAAGAAAAGACTGGAGTAATGATGCTGAAAATTCAGCTTTGCATCACAAAAATTACACTTTAAAATATATAAAAATAGAAAAAAGTATAATTTTTGCTATCATAAAATATAGAAAAAGATGAAATAAAATGAAAATTAAGAGAAGGAAATTGCATTGATTTTCTAACTGTTTTTTTATTATTATTATTTTATAGAGAGGAGGGCAAAAGGTTTCCAAAGTGGCCATTGGGTTATTAGCGATTGGCTGGACCTTTGCGTTTGTCTCCCTGTTTGTTGCTGTGGCACAGAAGATCTCCTGGCTGGATTATCTCTACTATTTCTCTTACATTAAACTGGGTGTCACACTTGTAAAGTACATCCCTCAGGTACAACTCTCCCATCTCACACCGCAAAAGGTTTAAGAAATGCCCCCAAAAATAAAATTCTGTCATCACTTACCCACTCACCATGATGTCATTCCAAACCTGACTTGAAAAAATCCAAACAAAATCCTTCCAACGAAATCCAAAAGGAAATTGTGATCAGATATTTTCCTTGCAAAGAAAAGTGCATGAGAACTGAGGCTGTCAAACTCCAAAAACAACTTTGCATTATATGCAAAATGTTCACCCCCCAATTTGTAGCTCTCAGATCTCTTGCTTTCAGTTGAAAACACTCAGTGTGTTTTCTTCACTCGTGAGACACATGAGATTCAAACCTGGCATGATGTGGCTTTAGCCACTATTTTTGAATATTCACATGTGTGAAAGAAATTTGAGAGCCATGGGGGTTTGTATTCAGTGGAAGAAAGAAAGTCATGATGGTTTGGAATGGTATGAGGGTAAGTGATGACCGAATCTATATTTTTTGATTGATCTGTTTAAAAATAATGGCATTTCATAGAGCAGTGCAGTAGGCTTCGATGCAGTTCACTGAAATACTAAACATAGATTTCACACTTCCTCTTTTTAACAGTCTTGTACACTTGGTTATAGTTGTGGCTTGTAACTGTAGATTGAAAAAGAGTTTCAAATGAATTGTGATAAAAGTAACCCTCCTAATGTCCTAAGAAACTGCAACCAAGCATCCCGAAGCTTAGATTTGTTTTGTGATTGAATATCGGAGTAACATAATTTGTGTAACATGTATTAGGGATAAATGTTAGAAATTGTTAATGGTGCATAGGAAAAATAATTAAACATTTTATATATGTATGTATGTGTGTGTATATATTAATGTTTGTAATATTGACTGGTGGCCAAAAGTTTGGAATAATTACGATTTTTTTTATGTTTTTGAAAGAAGTCTTTTATGCTCATCGAGGCGGCATTTGTTTGATCAAAAACCCAGTAAGCAGAAATATTGTTAAATTTAAAAAATGTCATTTAAATTAATTTAAAAGCTGAATTTTCAGCATCATTACTCCAGTCTTCAGTGTCACATGATCCTTCAGAAATCATTCTAATATGCTGACTCTCAAGAAACATTTATTATCATCAGGGTGAAGCTGAAAATGACACTTTGCCATCACAGGAATACATTATATTGGAAAATAAATTCAAATAGAAAACGGTTATTTTGAATTGTAATAATATTTCACAATATTACAGTTTTTACGGTTTTTGAATTCTACCATTTTCCCCCCAAATAAATGACTTCTTTCAAAAACATAAAAAAAATCTTGATTATTCCAAACTTATGGCCACCTGCATGTGTGTGTATATTTTTCATTTACGTTTCATTTAAAGTAATTAAGAATAATTACAACTTGATCGCCGTCTGTTGACATATTCTTGACATTTTCACTATGTCTGGTTCCACTTCCCAAAAATATGTTATTTTTTAAAATCTTTTTTTTGAAAACAGGTTTAAATATATTGTGTGGCGTATTTTACATTGCTCATTAATTCTGGATTATTTTGTAGGCTTATATGAACTACCGCAGGCAGAGCACAGCGGGATGGAGCATCGGGAATGTGCTGCTGGACTTCACAGGGGGCAGTTTCAGTTTACTTCAAATGTTCCTCCAGGCCTACAACAACGGTGAGACCGCACAAACCCTTTCGTTTCCTATACGGCAGCACTTTAAAGATGTTAGAATGCACACCAATATTTGTTTTCATTTTTGTGTTTCCTTGACAGATAAATGGAAGTTTATATTTGGAGACCCCACAAAGTTTGGACTGGGCGTATTGTCCATATTCTTTGATGTCGTGTTCATCGTGCAGCATTATTGTCTGTATAGGAACAGAGAGCCCATGTATCATGATTTAGATGATCAGAATGACCAACACACCAGTGTTAAAACATAACCGCAGCAATATAAAGATTTCATATGGACTTTTCTATCTTTTTTATCACTGGTTCCAGGAGTAAACTGTTCAATTGTACACACATTCAGTGGTCAAAAACCAAATGTGGGTCACTTTGCATTCAGCTGATCATTTTATCTTTTAAACAGGAATGTCTGAAGAACAAATAATGTTAAAACTAGAAATGTATATTGCTTCCATCTATCAAAACAATTGCATAGAACATACCTCTTGAAGTGTTCTCATCTGAGCAAGTTAATGTCCCTCGACTTGACCATTTCGGTGCATTTTTAACACTCAGACATGCATGTTCTATGCAGTTGTTTTGAAAGAGGGAAACAAGTTACAACTCTAGTTTCAGCATTATTTATTCTTCAAACATTTCTCTTTAAATACAATAAGTATCAGCTGTATACAAAGCGACCATCATTTGGTTTTCGACCACTGAAAATGGGTAATATTCAACTATTTGGACATGAAGCCGCAATGGGATCCCCATATCTCTGGGATTGAACTATATCGGGCCTTGAAAATCATGATTCCAAAAGAAAAGTTTAAGAACCAGAATGTAAAATCATATTGCGATATCTTTAATACTTCTTAAGTTACAGGCACGCAAACTTTGGAAAAATAATATATATGGCACTGAGACGGGTATGAGCTATGCAAGTGTTTTGATTGAGTGAACCAAGATCCATTTCTAGTTTCAACATTATTTGTTCTTCAGACATTCTTCTTTAAAAGATAAAAGTATCATCTGTATGCAAAGTGACCAACGTTTGGTTTTTGACCACTGAAAATGGGTACGATTTAACAGTTTACTCCTGGGACCATATTGAGAGCCCTATATCTCTGGAAACGAACCATACAGAGCCTTAAAAATTAAGACGCCAAAAGGAAAGTTTAAGATATCTGTAATATTTCTTGAGTTAAAGGCCTGCAAACTTTGGAGAAAAAAATTGAAAAGTGCTTTTTTTCCATTTTTGAATAGTCACCACTGGTGTATAATGCAACAAAGACTGCTAAAGTCAATAGATATTACTAATAGACCTACCAATCTCTGTGTAAAAATAACAATGATGCTTTAATTTTTTTTTTAAGTCATTTTTACCCTCGTTTAATTTGGCTCCGAATCTCAGGTGAAAATTGTCATTTTGACCCCCCTCTACGAAATAGTGGATTACTCCGTAAATATACATCCATGACATTTCATATTTTGGCTTTCATCACCATACATGTTTATCTTTCTTCAGAAAAAAAGATGAACAAAATCAGAAATTTGAACCGGGGAAGTTTCTGAAATTTTGATTGATTTGACATGGAATGACCCTGAAAACCGTTCCCTCCAGTGAGCTGTTCACTGCTGCGACTGGAGTATTGAATCAGTGAGTTCAACTTGAAAACTGAATCATACAAGTTTATAAACATGAGGTTGTTGAGTAAATACGAATTTTCAGTTTTGGGTGAATTTTTTTGCGTTTGTGAATCGGTAACTGTGGCTACTTCTTGTCATGTCTTTTTTATTTAACAAAATTCTCATGCTTTTGCCCCCATATTTTATTTAGTGTTTTCTCTCTGATGCTTGGAAACAGAAGAGCTTGACTTCATCCTGAGGAGGATCAGGCGGCAGCATGGCAGATGAGAACGGTGAGTTGTGTTGACAAACGGATGAAGAGATAATCTCATCTGCACTTCTTTAGTGATATTATTGGGACAGTCGTCAGCAGATTTTTCAACAGTCTGTTTTGGGCTCTCAGAATCATTCAGTCAGTGCTAATGGGCTGAGCGTTTAAATAGGTCAGTGTGAAACTGAGCCTTTAACTAGTAGACGAAAGATTGTAGACAGCCACACCTCTCTTAGCCCAGCTTTCCTCATGGTAACATAAAAAGAGATACAAGGAAATGAACCCAGGAGTGTTTCTATATTTTTAAGTCCTCTAAATGATCAACGTCATCAAAACTTCGCTGAAAAACCTGTTTTATACAATCTACTTCACACAAACTTCTAGTGCTGTCAAACGGTGAATCGCATCCAAAATAAAAGTTTTTGTTTATATAATATATGTGTACTGTGTATATTTATTATGTATATATAAATTAAAAAAATATTTACATGTATATATATATTTATTTATACTCGTATATAATTTATATATAAACAAATAAACAAAACATATTTTTCTTAAATATATGCGTGTGTGTGTGTGTGTGTGTGTGTATATATATATATATATACAGTGGGTACGGAAAGTATTCAGACCCCCTTAAATTTTCCACTCTTTGTTATATTGCAGCCATTTGCTAAAATCATTTAAGTTAATTTTTTTTCCTCATTAATGTACACAGAGCACCCCATATTGACAGAAAAACACAGAATTGTTGACATTTTTGCAGATTTATTAAAAAAGAAAAACTGAAATATCACATGGTCCTAAGTATTCAGACCCTTTGCTCAGTATTTAGGAGAAGCACCCTTTTGATCTAATACAGCCATGAAGTTTTTCACACCTGGATTTGGGGATCCTCTGCCATTCCTCCTTGCAGATCCTCTCCAGTTCTGTCAGGTTGGATGGTAAACGTTGGTGGACAGCCATTTTTAGGTCTCTCCAGAGATGCTCAATTGGGTTTAAGTCAGGGCTCTGGCTGGGCCATTCAAGAACAGTCACAGAGTTGTTGTGAAGCCACTCCTTCGTTATTATATAAAAATGTCAACAATTCTGTGTTTTTCTGTCAATATGGGGTGCTGTGTGTACATTAATGAGGAAAAAAATTAACTTAAATGATTTTAGCAAATGGCTGCAATATAACAAAGAGTGACAAATTTAAGGGGGTCTGAATACTTTCCGTACCCACTGTATGTATATACACAGTACATTTATACTATTTATAATATATGCATTTATTATGTAAACACAAACTTTTATTTTGCCCGCGAAATACGAACACAAACACTTCTGCTAGTTAGTGTGTTTACAGCACATCATGTCTAACACAGTTCCCACATGTGCACCTCAAATAAGTGAATACTAATAATGAATGCAATAAAACTGCTGTCACATCATGTAAAGTACCACATACAAAGTTTAAACTTACCACTGAGAAACGTCCTGATCAAGTTGTGCTTGCGATGGCGTTTCCGGTTGAGCGACTGCATCTGTATCATCCTCGGACTTGGGCTCGAATTGATAAGGTAATATCAATACCATTTTTGTAACCTTACAGCATTTTTGTTTGCAAGTAACCCTCCGGAACAAATATTTTATTATGGCAATGGGCTCTGTGTATACGGAAAGCTCAATCACAACAGACTTGGCCAGCTGACCAATCAGAGCAGAGCAGGTTTACCTTAATGTCTAACACAGTTCCCACATGTGCACCTCAAATAAGTGAATACTAATAATGAATGCAATAAAACTGCTGTCACATCATGTAAAGTACCACATACAAAGTTTAAACTTACCACTGAGAAACGTCCTGATCAAGTTGTGCTTGCGATGGCGTTTCCGGTTGAGCGACTGCATCTGTATCATCCTCGGACTTGGGCTCGAATTGATAAGGTAATATCAATACCATTTTTGTAACCTTACAGCATTTTTGTTTGCAAGTAACCCTCCGGAACAAATATTTTATTATGGCAATGGGCTCTGTGTATACGGAAAGATCAATCACAACAGACTTGGCCAGCTGACCAATCAGCAGAGCAGGTTTACCTTAAGCTCAGAACTGCTTTGAACGAATCGTTTCGGAAATCATTGAAAAATGATTCTAATATTAAATGTATATTCTGAGAAATTAAAATGTTCTCTGACCTTTGATGCATTTAAACCTGTTGTAGGGGACTTCAACACAATATTAGGACACTTTAAAATACCATATGACCTGCTCTTTAAAGGGGACATCGGATGTCCATTTTCCACAAGTTGGTGTAATTCTTTAGGGTCTTCATGAAATGTTTGTAACATACTTTGGTTAAATGCATGTCCCTTTAAATTATAATAAGCTACTGGTCACCCCGCCCCTCTCTTCCGTTTTTTGTGTATTCGGTGGCACGTTACAAAAAAAAAAACAAAACAGAAAATCAAAACCGTTTGATAATTGTCCCCTTTAAATTGACAGCCATAATAATTATACAAATCACACTTTTGGATACAATAGTCAGTTTTTTAATTATTATTAACTTTTTATTGATACTTTTCAGTTTGAGTGAATTCTATTTTTAAATAATAGTAATATACTGTATATAAATGAATATAATCAAATGCATTTATAATGAACATTTCTCACACTTTATCTGCTGTTTTGGATTCATTTTCTCTCTGCCAAGGGTACCTGAGGTGCTGTTATAGCATGTTGTAGAACAGAAAGCAATTAAATTATTTTCTACTTAATGACACCAAATCAATATCTTGTTTTTCATCTTGCAGAGACACCTGCTGTTGCTCCTCCAGTGTTTGTGTTTCAGAAAGATAAAGCACAAAAGGTAAGACCAGCACTTTCGTTCTTACTGGTTGACTTGGATCACACCTGTCCCATTCTGGCCTTAAAACACTTTTCTGTCCTCAGAGGTCAGCAGAGGGATACAGCACAGAGGATGGAGAGGGTGAGCTTCAGTCTTTTTGCCGTCAACAGACAATATTATTGAAAGGATTCATTTCACAAAGAAATGTTTGGAAAAGGCCATATAACTATCATTTAACTAATGTTTAAAGAGGCAGAGTGCTTAAATGTCATAATGTTATTACAGAGACTAAAAATCTTATAAACAGGCTTTGTTTTCTTTTTGTAAAAAAATTAAATAATAATAAATTTTTTTCCTATTACTTTTTTGTGAAAACTCCAGTCCAGTGTGAAGAATTCATGTATGCATGTGTCTTTAAAATTTAAATGTATTTTATATTTTATTTTATTTTTTTCTGGACTTGGTTTCCCTTCTGTTTCTGCCTAGACTCTGATAAAGAAGACGGCAGTTACAGTCCTGCTGCCAAAAGAGGAAGAAGATCACCATTTACGCAATTCCCACCATCTCATTCCGGTAATCCACCTGGAAAATAATTACAGGTCTTCATAGCACATTACGGGCTTCTTCTGTTTAGCCCGGTTTCTTGACACACTTTCTTTTCCGTTTTACAGTTTCTAAGAATAATGTTTTCATGCCATCCAGTTTCTGCCAGTCACCAACCAGAAACTCCGACTCAGAACCTGGTGAGACTCAATGTGCTTCAAATTTGTACCTAATCACATATTATGTAAATCAATATGAAATGATCTTCGTAACCTGTTTTACTTTCATAATGTGTCATTTATGAGTGAAACAGTAATCAAGTAAGAAAAAAAATCAAGACTGGATTGTATCCATTGGGAATTGGTCAGATTGCGAAAAGTGGTCTGTATTTGACAGAATTGAAAATTAAAATTGTTTCTGAGATGGAGCAAGTTATTACATTTTGAAAGTTTGCGGAGACAAACTTTTGCACAAGACCAAGATTGTGCAATAAGAAAGTACATTTTGGTTTCATGTTAACTGTTTTCTCCATTGTTTTTTCTTCGTCAGAAGAGAAGACTGTGGGGTTTCGCCTGAAGCCCCCGACTCTTATCCATGGCCAGGCGCCGAGCACTGGTGAGTCAGTGTTCAAACATCTGCTGTTTTAAACAGTCTGTTGATTAATGTCCAGTTGTGGAGCTTTCATAAGTTTCTTTATTTATATGATAGACAGTAGACAGTCACCATTTGAACTTTCTGTGCCAGAGACCCTCAGAGGGCCTGACAAAGTCCTGAGGGATGTGTTTCTGTCACCAGGCCTAGCTGGTTAAGAGCGATCATTATTTTATTGATTCGTTTCAGGTGTCCCCAGCCCGAAACCCAAAGAAGCCCAGCGCAGCATCCTGAGACCTCCAGTGCTGCAGCCCCCTCCGGCCCGATCCCCCCCTCAGAACAGTGAGTACAAGGGTACACAAAAATGACTGGTCGCTCCAAACCTTGGTTTTGAAATTACAGTTTACAATGTGTACACATTGGTCAACTTATTATTGTTTTTAATCGTGCTTTAGAAATAAATTGCCTTGCCTTGTCAGTTCGATACATTTTCGGTACAGCAGGAGGGAAAAATGTAAACACTATTTTTTTTATTTTTTACTGAACACATTGCGGCTTTGTCTTTAAATAAATATATTTATTAGGATAAAAAAATCTATCTCAGCTAATGCTGTAAACTGTATAGAGAGCCCTATTACTTGCACAGTTTTTACATTTTCTTCTAAATCTAATTATAAAATTAGGTTTCTACTCCAATTCGATGTTAAAATATAATCATTTACAAAATGGCTGTCATAACTTGTTTTCATGACAGACTTATTTAAACATACATTAAATAATTAAGACATCACTAACAGTTTAAGTAAAATGTAATAAATATATAGGCTAATATAGTGCATATTTTAGTGCAGTGCTCTAGAGTTCCCTTCTCTAGTGAACTAACCAGCTGTGGGCACTGAATGACTTATATGTAATGCTATGTTAAATGTTTACACGCTGTTTTACTGATGTCTTTCCGTGGTTAGAACACTGATTCAGCGATTACTTGAGACATGAGATGTTCATTCATGTTTATTTTGTACTAGTAGTAAAGAGGAGGGATGATTGTGTTCATTTGAGCTCTGCTGCTGTTTGCCTATACAACGGGCTGTCACGGCGCATCAAAATGGCATTTATTGTTTGCATTTCGTGATAAAATGGACAGAATTTGAAAGATGAGACTTTATTTCTTATCGAAAATAACTGAACACAGAGCTCATGGTTATTATGTCCAGTGAAGTTTTATTCACGCATCATATTGACTCATTAAAATTAAGATATATAAAACTAGTTCAGCTAGTTTCAAATTAAGTTCTGCACATACAATGGTTAAAACGAGGCTGTATTGGTTCCATACACAAGCGTACCGAACAGAAAGACCTGTACTGAAAATATTCTGTACAAATATGTGTACCATTACACCCCTAGTGAGTACTTGATGAATACCAACTCCGATAAATCAGCTGAAGCAGAACTACAACTAACAGCTGCAGCCTGTTGTTTCACCAGACACAAGCAAAAGCAGTTCAAACGGAGCAAAAAACCTCTCCGATGGAGGAGCAGAATGTGAAGGTAACTCAGAGACGCCTGCTGCTGGCACACAGGATAATGACGTGACATCGGTAAGACAGCACTGTTCTAAATCTATTAATCACTGTTCTAAGTCTATTCAAATCTATCAAGTGCACTTTGGGAGGAAATCGATTAATGCCAGTATAATGGTTTGACAACCCGTGTCCAAATACTTTTTCATTCATTTCAAACAGTATATCTTTTTATAATTTCAAACGTACCAAACTTCTTTTTTGGGGAACATTTTGCTTGGAAAGGGCATTTGTGCTATACTTTTTCATCAGATGCCGCTTTGTTTATTTTCTTATATAGCACAAATACATTAATATATCGTGAAGTGTTGCTTAAGTGTCTTCATTCTTTTCACTGTAAAGTTTGAACTCTGTGTTTATTATATTTGACAATGTAAGCGTGTTTGAATGCAGCATGGGCTTTGGTCCAAAGGCCAGACAAGTCTAACTATATTTTACATGGCTGTGGCTTCCTGAAATGACTTTGACATCTTGTTCTGAATGTCTTTGTTGTGTTTGGCTGACCCAGTATTTCTAGTTGAAGCTCTGACGCGTAAATGCAAAAAGCAAAGTGAACAGGGTAGGAGCAGTCTGGACACACTTTTAAACTTAAATGACCTTTTTGTTATTTCTTTTAAGGTAAAGAACAACAGCACTTTTGAGCACAAAACAGAAGACAAAACTGAAGGTGCCCCAATTGAGGGCAGTTTTGTGTTTGGACAGAATATGAGGGACAGAGCAAAGGTTTGATTCATATGCATTCGATGTTCTCTGTGTGCTTGTCTCATTCCTGTTAGGGCTGGGTTATACATTGAATTTTTAGTACAGTTTTTTGCTGGCAATTTAAAAATGAAGGAATGATTTGATGCAATTTTTACTTATTTAGTTGCCCAATTTCTCCTTGACGTGTGAGTATGGAAGCATTTAGACAAATGTTTTCATAGCATCTCTTATTTAAACTTTAGTAAGAACATGTTTTCAATTCATTTCATGAATCAGTTCAAACAGTTCAAATGATAAGATTCAGACTTCTTCTTCAGTGTTTTCTGTGTTGGGGTTTTGTTTTGTTGAAAATATAACTGTATTTGCTGCAGGTGGCCAACAGCTGTGTCTTATCCGAGAGTGGCGATTGTCTTCTGGCTGAAAATTCAGAGGAGACCAATTACTTTTTGCAGTGCGTCACTTCCAGGTACTGCAATTGAAATGTTTATGTTCGTTTTTAAAGTCATTTTTTTATAGATCTCCTCAGACAGAAACTTGCAACTTTTCTTGCCATCAATATTGTGTTTTGTAGTGCACAAAAACCTGATAGCAGCAATGCCAACAGCGTGAAGTTTGTCTTTGGGCAGAACATGTTGGATCGTGTCTTGGTAAGGCAACAAATTCTTTTCTAAACCTTGATATGCTTGTCATGATTTGGCATGATAAAGTTATCATAGATGACAGTTCCCGACTTGTTTATGTATTGCATGCTTCCAGGCGCTGCCGAAATTCAGCACTGAACCTCCAGGGGGCAGCAGAGAGCCTCAGCCTGAGAGGGGCCTGTTCAGCCAGATTTCCTCCTCACAAGATCAAACTGTGGAGAAGAGTACGTGTTCTAGTTCCAATCACAAATCAGAGATGACAAATATGTTTTGAACTAATGCTACATCCTTACTACGTGCAGAACTTTGCAGTGTCAAATAGTTTTTCTATTTACACTGAAAGCAAAATACTGTGTGAAATGACAGCAAGTCATTACGTTATTAATATACATTGAGACCAAGCAGATTTTGCTTTGGGCAGGGCTACTTTGCATTGCATCATATGTGCTTGTTGTGGATGGTTATGATAAAACCTTACGAGATGTTTTATCACATGGAACTCTTTATCATATCGTGAAAAAAAACCCCAGAGTGTCCCTTCCTTTTATTTGATGGTGGTCAAGCTCTCCCATCACCATATTTACAACAATAGCAAGAGTCAGAGGCACAGTCACATTTTTAAAATGTGATAACCGCATACAACGTATATTTCATGTTGCCTAAATACTTTTCATTTGTAAATAATTATTTCTTCACATGCTAGGGTTGTGCAAAACTGCATATTTTCAAAATGTACTGTGACTAGTCGTTTATAAGTGGGCTAATTGTTATGGATAGATTGGTTTCGGGTATACATTGCCAAACGTGGGTCTTGAGATGTCTTATTAAACTTTTTTTTTTTTTTTTTACCTGACAAATGTGGCATGTTATTAATAAAATAGCTCAAGTACAGCATGCTTATCCCAGCCACTATAAATATAAAAATTAAAATATAGAAAATCTAATATATATATATATATATAGAGAGAGAGAGAGACACACACACACACTAGACAATTAATAGACAATATAGACAAATTAACAGTTTGAATAGCTACAGCTATTTAACAGAGGAACTTTTTATTATTGGTCTTATTGATAATTGATACATGTTTGAATTGTATTTGTCACTAAACTTTACATTACATATACATTTATTATCCAAAGTGACTTATAATTTGCCATAAGAGTCCACAATTGTCTATATAAATAAATAAAACAATCACATCAGGTATCTAATGTCAAGAAGATTTATAATTAAAGTTCCATTCAAAACATTCTGCCATTCAAAATTTGGGGTTGGATTGTATAATGTCCCACATTCACCAAGGTTGCATTTATTTGATCAAGAACACATAAAAAAATAAATATGATTGTGAAATATTATTACAAGAGCTTTTTTCTATTTAAATATATTTTAAAATTGTATTCATTCCTGTGATGCAAAGCTGAATGTTCAGCATCATTACTCCAGTCTTCAGTGTCACATGATCCTTCAGAAATCATTCTAATATGCTTTATATTTTGGTGTTTTTTTTCAGGATTCTTTGATCAATAGAAAGTTCATAACAGCGTTTATTTTAAACAAATATTTTGTGACATTTTAAATGTCTTTACTGTTACTTTTTTTTTATTTAATGAATCCTTGCTGAATAAAAGCATTAATATCTTTCAAAAAAATGTCTTACCCTAAACTTTTGAATGGACGTGTAAATTACATTTTCTACCATTGGTGTAACAGTATTGTCTTGTGCCACTGCACTAAATCGTTGTGGTTTTAAAACAAATTCTTTAATGTGCTGTAGGTGACACCACGAAAGAGTCTCTGGAGGAGTCAGCGGCACGACACGAAGCACACAAACCCCAGAAGTGTTTATTAGAGCGGGTGGAGGTCAGGACAGGAGAGGAGTCTGAGAGCAACGTGCTGCAGGTGAGAGCAGCTCACACATCTGATCCATACAGGCGAGCTTCATCAAAACACATGAGAAGATGATGCTGCTCTGTCCCGTGTGTTTTCAGATGCAGTGTAAGTTGTTTGTGTTTGAGATGCTGTCTCAGTCGTGGGTGGAGAGAGGATGTGGAGTGCTCAGGCTCAATGACATCGCATCCGCTGATGACGGCACCTTACAGTCCAGACTGGGTAATGCACTACTGATGTTGTAAAAGGCATTGGTCATATAACCTTCACTCTTTAATATTAATATAACTTCTATATTTCAAGTCTTCCGAAGCCATATGATATACACTACCATACAATAGTTTGGGGTCATACAGATTTTTTTTATGTTACTGAGAAAAGTCTCTTATGTTCACCAAGGCAGCATTTATTTGATCATAAATAAATAAAATAAAATAAAAAAAGAATAAATAAAAACAGTAATATTGTGGAATATTAATTAAAGTTTAATATAACTGTTTTCTATTTTAATATATTTTAAAATGTAATTTATTCCTGTGATGCAAAGCTGAATTTTCAGCATCGTTACTCCAGTCTTCAGTGTCACGTGATCCTTCAGAAATCATTCTGATATGCCGATTTAACGCTCAAGAAACATTTCTGATTAATGTCACTTTTGAAAACAGTTGTTCTGATTAATATTTTTGTGGATTATTTGAAATAGAAATCATTTGTAACATTGATCAGTTCAGTAATATGAACTGAATAAAAATATAATTTTTTAAGTTTTTGTTAATGGATGAACTATTACTTCAAAACTATTTAAAGTGAGCTAATGAGATGCACAACATCTGAAGTGTACTGGATGCTTGTTTTATTCAAAATTCATGCAAAATTCATTAAAAACAGTGCATTTTCATTGCAGTCAATGCAGTCTGCAGATTTTGTAACTGACACAAGGGGGTGCTAATACTTCTGTTTAATCAGCCTTGGGTGCTGAAGTTCTCAAAATGGACAAATATTGGTCAGTTCATTAGTTTGTCCTATATACTGGACTGTATTCAACTTTTATTTAGCAAAAAATTGCATAACACACCTTTTTCAGTCACACATTTGCAAAGGAGCACAGGCTGTAATTGATTTAGTAAGAAAAATCTGTAGTGGTTTTGTTTACTGAGAGCTGATCATGGTGTGTTTGTGGCTTGCAGTCATGCGGACTCAGGGAAGCCTTCGAGTGATCCTCAACACTAAGCTTTGGCCTCAGATGCAAGTGGATAAAGCCAGTGAGAAGAGTCTCAGAATAACAGCCATGGACACAGAGGAGCAGGACGTCAAAGTCTTCCTCATATCTGTAAGAACGCACTGAATGATTATATCATCACAGCTGATTTGAGAGCTGTGAACAGTCAGTGTTGTGTTGTTGGTCTCATGAGGTCTCATCTCATCTCTCAGTCCAGCTCTAAGGACGCTGCGCAGCTCTTTGCAGCCCTGCACCATCGTATCCTGGCGCTGCGGAGCATCAGCGGGCAGGAGTCTGACGGCCGTCCGGGCAACCGCTTCAGTGATGACGACGAGTCCCGCACACCCCCCACATCGGCGACGCCTGCTCAAGGTAATCTTTCATACCAAGTATGAAAGGAAGCTACCATCAAAGATGGTTATCTACACTTGTAAGGTGCAGATCAAAAATAGTTTTTGTTGACATGTTATCAACAACTGTTTTTATAGAAGGCGTTTTTAACTGATTTGTTTCAGGTTCAGGACTCCACCCAAAAAAAAAAAACTAATTTTTTCCCCACCTAACATTAAAGTTTTTAAATATACTTTTATATTGCAATAACTTCACATTAAATCTTCAAATGAATGTAGAAACAACATAAAGACAGTATATTTTTCAAATTTGTTTAATGGCTTATTTTTTATGACTGAAGGCAAGTATCACTGATACCAATACTACTGAGGTCTCTATGAAATAGTTTTTTCCCCCTCTAATATTTAACCATTGACTATAGCCATTCAACATTACAGTATAATTGAGAGCTATCAATTTTAACATTTAGTAGACCCATTATAATAAATGTTATATTCGGCTACCTGTGCCGTCCAGAAAGTAAGAAATATACAGAAATTGAATAAAGTTATCAAACACTAAATTCTAAATGGATAAATCCTTAAAGCTACTAAAGTTATTGATTTCCCCTTTTTTCTTTTGTTCTTTGATTTAACACACATCACAGCAGCTGGGTTATTAGGTTTTTTGGCTGCTATTAATTTAAGAGCTGCCACTGCTGAACATGACACGCATCCTATTTTCTCACAACTCTTTACCTTTTCTGACCCACTTCAGCTCTTAAAGTAAGCTCTTGAATTGGGTGTGTTAGATGAGGGAGACAGTGCTGGGCTGCTCCGGGACAGTTCTGAAAATCACTGCATTTCAGAGACATGTTCTTAAATGTGACACATATATAACAAATACTTGCATGCATGCCCAGTTTTAAGGCAGCTTTAATCACCTTTTTGGTAACTTCACGACTTAACTGATGACAAAACTGCGACATTGCATGCTCATAGTTTCATTTGTGCTTTAATATGAAATTATATACAGCACTTGTTATATGCATTATATATACAGCATTTGTGCGTGCGCTATGGACACAGTGTAACGGCTGACAGGACAGGAAAATAAATTGTTCTGACATATGGCCTAACATCTCATCTGACCGCAGTTCACTGTTGCTCAACTGAAGCTCCTCGTCACCTGTACCTTTTCCCTGCTTGCTTGACTCGTGCCTGGTGCTGAGGCGAAGTTGAAGTGTATGTCTGAAAAGTCCCGTTTTATGTGCTCGTAAAGACATTATGCATCTAAATAAACACAATTTGGTCCCACTTTATATTAAGTGGCCTTAACTACTATGTACTTGCATCAAAAATTGTGTTTATATTGTATTGCAAAACACTTTTGCTGCTATTGAGGTGGGATACGGGTAAGTTTAGTGACAGGTTTGGTGGTATGGGTAGGTTTAAGGGTGGGTTAAGGTGTAAGGGATGGGTCAACAGTGTAATTATAAATGTAATTACAGAAATTAATTACAGATGTAATTACATGCATGCAATTTTTTAAATATAAGTACAATGTAAAAACATGTATGTACACAATAAGTGCATTGTACCAAATGATTAATTTAAATGTAAGTACAGTAGTTAAGTAGTAGTTAAGACCACTTAATATAAAGTGGGACCCACAATTCTTATCAAGAAAAAAGAGACAGAAGCAGCAGTTGTGATTGGGGTGGCCAACCTGTTGATGTGACTTTTTGTTTGTGACTTTTTTTTTTTTTGGAAATTCAATATTTATTGAAAAATTTATATTTATAAAATCAATTGTCCACATTTGTTAATTTTTTTCAACCATACATTAAAAATACGATTCATACCATGACTTGAAGACATCTCTTTAATAATGCATATTTTAATTTCTGAATTAAATTTTTGCTGTTTTTGGGGGCATAAAGTCAAAAACATCCAGGAAATATCGATATCTTAATGAAGGGGGAAAAAGCCTCATTAAAAGAATAAAATGTCTAGTGGTTTGACATAATCTTCTGTTATTGTCTCTCAGTATTTTATTAGGAATAAGTATTGATAAAGATTAAAAACAACAATAATAAAATTGGTAAAAAAGTTTTTCAAAACCACACGAACCATCATGAATTCAAAGAATACATTCAAGAACGAGGCACATGCATTTTTAATTTCTCCCTTTTAAAAGTTATGCATTATTATAAGTGATATTTATTTGGCTGTCCCAACTATATAGGTCTATATAGTTATTATTTGCAGTTAGTATTGTTTTTTTCCCTGCTTTCCACAACCCATTTTTGTGTTCATCTATTTTTGGGTTTGTTTTTATCTGTGCGTTGCTAATTTATCGGTTTTGTCTATTTATTCTTTTTTTTTTTTTTTTCAGGTAATCTGGAGGCAGGTGTGTGTCCATCCACAGGTGACACATAGTGGTGAGCCTGCTGCTGATTTCTGTCCCACAATGCCTCACTGCAGCCCTTTGATCCGCTCAAATACTATGCAGGTGTTTTTATTCCAAAATCCTTCAGGTGTACTTTAAGTCTTGTGTTCAGCTGGTTTTATTTATTGCATTTTAACAGCAAAAAAACTCATCTTCAGGACTGGACACGTAACTCTCTCAATGTCATCATATTGATGGAAAAGAGAGGCTCTTAGTGTTTTAGTAAACTGGTTTTCCATTCTAAATGTGAGACTTAATTACTCCATTTCCTGCTGAGTGGAAACAGGATAAAGTGCACACAGAGTTAACAGAAACCAAACAGATGCTAGTTGTCCCATCTCATCTTCCGTCACGGTTCTGCTCAGTTTCAGCTGCATTGTTCAAATTATCCCTCACGTTCTCTCTTTAGATTTCAGAATGACTTTACTTGAGTCATGTGATTTGTAAGCGGCATTTAGTTTCCTCATATAGTGCTGTAGATCAGTACAATATTAAAAGAGAGCTGATCGTTCATGTGGCCGCTCTTCTCTTGAGTCTTATAAACATTCAGAATCAGAAGTTTCACACTGCGGCTTTAAGTGGACCTCATTTATTATTCATATTAGATCAAATTTGTTTAGTTTTTTTCCCCCTCTAATATTTAACCATTGACTATAGCCATTCAGCATTACAGTATAATTGAGAGCTATCAATTTTAACATTTAGTAGACCCATTATAATAAATGTTATATTCGGCTACCTGTGCCGTCCAGAAAGTAAGAAATATACAGAAATTGAATAAAGTTATCAAACACTAAATTCTAAATAGATAAATCCTTAAAGCTACTAAAGTTATTGATTTCCCCTTTTTTCTTTTGTTCTTTGATTTAACACACATCACAGCAGCTGGGTTATTAGGTTTTTTGGCTGCTATTAATTTAAGAGCTGCCACTGCTGAACATGACACGCATCCTATTTTCTCACAACTCTTTACCTTTTCTGACCCACTTCAGCTCTTAAAGTAAGCTCTTGAATCGGGTGTGTTAGATGAGGGAGACAGTGCTGGGCTGCTCCGGGACAGTTCTGAAAATCACTGCATTTCAGAGACATGTTCTTAAATGTGACACATATATAACAAATACTTACATGCATGCCCAGTTTTAAGGCAGCTTTAATCACCTTTTTGGTAACTTCACGACTTAACTGATGACAAAACTGCGACATTGCATGCTCATAGTTTCATTTGTGCTTTAATATGAAATTATATACATTACAGTATAATTGAGAGCTATCAATTTTAACATTTAGTAGACCCATTATAATAAATGTTATATTCGGCTACCTGTGCCGTCCAGAAAGTAAGAAATATACAGAAATTGAATAAAGTTATCAAACACTAAATTCTAAATGGATAAATCCTTAAAGCTACTAAAGTTATTGATTTCCCCTTTTTTCTTTTGTTCTTTGATTTAACACACATCACAGCAGCTGGGTTATTAGGTTTTTTGGCTGCTATTAATTTAAGAGCTGCCACTGCTGAACATGACACGCATCCTATTTTCTCACAACTCTTTACCTTTTCTGACCCACTTCAGCTCTTAAAGTAAGCTCTTGAATTGGGTGTGTTAGATGAGGGAGACAGTGCTGGGCTGCTCCGGGACAGTTCTGAAAATCACTGCATTTCAGAGACATGTTCTTAAATGTGACACATATATAACAAATACTTGCATGCATGCCCAGTTTTAAGGCAGCTTTAATCACCTTTTTGGTAACTTCACGACTTAACTGATGACAAAACTGCGACATTGCATGCTCATAGTTTCATTTGTGCTTTAATATGAAATTATATACAGCACTTGTTATATGCATTATATATACAGCATTTGTGCGTGCGCTATGGACACAGTGTAACGGCTGACAGGACAGGAAAATAAATTGTTCTGACATATGGCCTAACATCTCATCTGACCGCAGTTCACTGTTGCTCAACTGAAGCTCCTCGTCACCTGTACCTTTTCCCTGCTTGCTTGACTCGTGCCTGGTGCTGAGGCGAAGTTGAAGTGTATGTCTGAAAAGTCCCGTTTTATGTGCTCGTAAAGACATTATGCATCTAAATAAACACAATTTGGTCCCACTTTATATTAAGTGGCCTTAACTACTATGTACTTGCATCAGAAATTGTGTTTATATTGTATTGCAAAACACTTTTGCTGCTATTGAGGTGGGATACGGGTAAGTTTAGTGACAGGTTTGGGGGTCTGGGTAGGTTTAAGGGTGGGTTAAGGAGGAAGGGATGGGTCAACAGTGTAATTATAAATGTAATTACAGAAATTAATTACAGATGTAATTACATGCATGCAATTTTTTAAATATAAGTACAATGTAAAAACATGTATGTACACAATAAGTGCATTGTACCAAATGATTAATTTAAATGTAAGTACAGTAGTTAAGTAGTAGTTAAGACCACTTAATATAAAGTGGGACCCACAATTCTTATCAAGAAAAAAGAGACAGAAGCAGCAGTTGTGATTGGGGTGGCCAACCTGTTGATGTGACTTTTTGTTTGTGACTTTTTTTTTTTTTGGAAATTCAATATTTATTGAAAAATTTATATTTATAAAATCAATTGTCCACATTTGTTAATTTTTTTCAACCATACATTAAAAATACGATTCATACCATGACTTGAAGACATCTCTTTAATAATGCATATTTTAATTTCTGAATTAAATTTTTGCTGTTTTTGGGGGCATAAAGTCAAAAACATCCAGGAAATATCGATATCTTAATGAAGGGGGAAAAAGCCTCATTAAAAGAATAAAATGTCTAGTGGTTTGACATAATCTTCTGTTATTGTCTCTCAGTATTTTATTAGGAATAAGTATTGATAAAGATTAAAAACAACAATAATAAAATTGGTAAAAAAGTTTTTCAAAACCACACGAACCATCATGAATTCAAAGAATACATTCAAGAACGAGGCACATGCATTTTTAATTTCTCCCTTTTAAAAGTTATGCATTATTATAAGTGATATTTATTTGGCTGTCCCAACTATATAGGTCTATATAGTTATTATTTGCAGTTAGTATTGTTTTTTTCCCTGCTTTCCACAACCCATTTTTGTGTTCATCTATTTTTGGGTTTGTTTTTATCTGTGCGTTGCTAATTTATCGGTTTTGTCTATTTATTCTTTTTTTTTTTTTTTTCCAGGTAATCTGGAGGCAGGTGTGTGTCCATCCACAGGTGACACATAGTGGTGAGCCTGCTGCTGATTTCTGTCCCACAATGCCTCACTGCAGCCCTTTGATCCGCTCAAATACTATGCAGGTGTTTTTATTCCAAAATCCTTCAGGTGTACTTTAAGTCTTGTGTTCAGCTGGTTTTATTTATTGCATTTTAACAGCAAAAAAACTCATCTTCAGGACTGGACACGTAACTCTCTCAATGTCATCATATTGATGGAAAAGAGAGGCTCTTAGTGTTTTAGTAAACTGGTTTTCCATTCTAAATGCGAGACTTAATTACTCCATTTCCTGCTGAGTGGAAACAGGATAAAGTGCACACAGAGTTAACAGAAACCAAACAGATGCTAGTTGTCCCATCTCATCTTCCGTCACGGTTCTGCTCAGTTTCAGCTGCATTGTTCAAATTATCCCTCACGTTCTCTCTTTAGATTTCAGAATGACTTTACTTGAGTCATGTGATTTGTAAGCGGCATTTAGTTTCCTCATATAGTGCTGTAGATCAGTACAATATTAAAAGAGAGCTGATCGTTCATGTGGCCGCTCTTCTCTTGAGTCTTATAAACATTCAGAATCAGAAGTTTCACACTGCGGCTTTAAGTGGACCTCATTTATTATTCATATTAGATCAAATTTGTTTAGTCTCTTTATTTAAAGGAAAAGTTCACCTATAAATTAAAATTCTGTTGTGACTCTTGTTGTTTCAAAGCTGAAAAAAGTACATATTTTTGAGGATTCTAAAAAAACAACAACAGAATATACGTTTGGATGCATAAACAATGACAGAGTTTTTATTTTTGGGTGAAATGTTTCAGCTTTTACTTATCATTGCGGCGAGGTTGACCTCAACTTGCAAACAAAAGGAACCATTGTACAAATACTTACTGTAAATTATTCTCCCGTTTCAATGCAATAGTACCTTTTCACACAGTATATTTTTATGAATATGTCCTGTAAATCAAGTTATTATTGTATAGTTTAGGATGGAAAGTTTTATAGCAAAATGTCTTATTAATGACATTAATTATTATCATAAAATGGGTTCTGTATTGTTACTACAGTAATACTATGTAGTGTTTTTCACCTAAATATTTGTTTATTGAGGACGTTTTGTCATAGATTAGTAAAAGACTTAAGGATTCTGTGCTCTGTTTCTCTTATTTAACAAGAATTTTGTTTAAAAAAAAAAAAAGAGAGAGAAAGAAAGTTGGACAACATATTTTAAATGTGATTGTGGAGCTACAGAACTGGCCTGTTGGGGAGAATCTCACAGAATCTGTCAGGGTTGTATTTCACACTAAAATAGGGTCAATAAAGAAATAGTTCAACCAAACATGAAAATTTGCTGAACATTTATCACCCTCATGTAGATGAGTTTGTTTCTTTATCTGAAGGGATACGAATTCTCTGCAGTGAATGGGTGCCGTCAGAATGAGAGTCCAGATCATTTAGAAGGGCTAGGCTGCTATTGGACTGTTGATTTCACTGGGATAAGTATGTCTTTTTGTTACCCACGATTTTGAAACGTATAATGGTGGTCAAATGTGGATATATATTTGGTCTGTTAGAGACATTTCTGTTTTCCGTTAACCTTGTGACAAGTTATAAAACCCTGGAACACGCAAAAAAAAATCTTGTCTTTTTTCCCCCCTCTTTTGTTTTTATTCATTATTCATCCAGCATCGTTTTTTTTTTTCAGTGAAAGGCTATATTGTATTCATGTTTGCATTTAATGTTATTCAAACCATTTTACTATTCCACCTATTCACATCTGCTGATTTTACATATGAATTATGATGCTGCTTCTACGTCACATTATTCTGCCACTTGGAAACCTGTACTGCCTTTGACTCCTTTTAATATTACATTCTGTTTTTCCGCTGCAGAATGAATGTTTTTCCATTCAGTTTGATGTTTCCCATCAATATGAAATTACTAGCAGGGCTAAAGATTTACAAAACAGATGTTTGCTCGCTGCGAGTTGATTGCTGTAAATGTCTGTAAATGTTTACATTTAGTGTGTTGCAGCAGATGTACTAGAGGACACACTCCTTTTTTTCTTTTTTTGGGTTGATTGTGTAGACCTCAGATAGACTGTGAACACGCCGGTGCTATTTCTGGTCCAGAACAGGTCAACTGCACTGGTCTTGTGGTTTAAATATACAATTTTGCTCTGGTGGAAGCGTTTAGAGATCATTTAGAAGGGCTAGGCTGCTATTGGACTGTTGATTTCACTGGGATAAGTATGTCTTTTTGTTACCCACGATTTTGAAACGTATAATGGTGGTCAAATGTGGATATATAATTGGTCTGTTAGAGACATTTCTGTTTTCCGTTAACCTTGTGACAAGTTATAAAACCCTGGAACACGCAAAAAAAAAGTCT